TGCATTTAGATCGACATAAATTAGCCAATTAAACGACCTTGAGATCACAAGATTATAGGACCAGTTTTCAACTAGTCGTTTGGACCTGGTCCAAACTAGTTCCCCGTGGACCACTATCTTACAGTGCCTTGTTAGTGATAAATATTAATTTACTGCATCTTACGCGTATCTATCTATTTCTAACATGTGACAATTCTTTTTTACGTGCATTTATTAGTTTGTAAGCTTCTTTATGTTCGTTTTTTAATAGGATTAAAAAATAAATCTTTTTAAAAAATCGTGCATTTTGATTGGCAATTGTCACGGGAAATCACGTATAAAATTTACTATATAATGCGTTATGACCACCTTGGTCATATAAATCATATAAAGTTAAAATGGCCGACACTGCTGAATATATTCAACTAGACGAAGAGGATGATAACGATCCTGACAAGATTATGTGTGAAATCCCAGTTTATCTTTCTCAGAAACTCACAAATAAACTCTTTATAGTCCAACATCCTGTTCGACCACGCGCAAACCCATACACTGGTAAAAATACACCGCGAGAAGCGCGTTTCAAGCCTCATTCGCAAAAGCTCGAACTTGATATCCCACTACAAACTACGTCTCAATGGTATGATCAGGATAGAGGTGCAGAATTAGCATTGGGACTTAATGATAAAGAAGCTCGAACCATTTACGATCGTACATGGAAACTTGATCAATATGATGGATTATTAGATAAACAAACATTACAGTCTACTATTGTTCCACCACAAGCTACTTATTGGATGGGAGCAATGAAGAATAGTAAGCATAAAAGTAATTGATCCGGCCTAATACACGAGTATTTACAATTTTTTTCTATTGATCTTTAGGTGCCCTTCACTTAACGCCCGTTCATGCAACGCTACAATTACGCCCAGGATTGAAATATCATGACAAAATTGATGAAAAAAATAGGAATGCCAATAAGAAAGCTCAAGTTCTTGAAGAAGAAGATAGCATTAATGAATTAAAAAGCTCCAGAATGGCGTCTGATGATCAAAATATTGTTTCCAATAAAGGCAAAGGGCCTGGAAAGGGAAAAGTTCCTATGGTAATTTACAGAAATTATAAATATTATTTTGGATTTTTATTTAAATATAATATTTTCTTTTATTAAAAAATATTATTATTTTAGAATGCTATTACAGATAAAAGCACTGATAAATCATTGCTTAAAAAAAACTCTCGTCCGAAATTACACCGATTAGGAGAGGAAGAATCATGGATTAAAATGAGATATTATGATGCTGAAGTAAGATAAACAACTAGTAACGCATTAATGCTCTAGTTTACTGATTGTAAACCTTTCTTCCTTAATCTAGTCCATAGAGACAGATGAAATATTCAATCAGATTCGCACGATACAGACTGATCCTTTGGTGTGTACGACAACTAATTTAAACGATTATCTTGACAAAATAAGCGCTTCTCCAACAACAGTCATTGATGATCCAATGGTTATTGATGAAACTATTGCTCGGCCACTCAATAAACTTCTTTCTACTAATTTGAGAGCTGATTCTGTATCTAAACCTACTGAGCCTTCACCCGCTAAGCCTCAACCCAATCCCACTGCGAGGTCAACTCCAAGTAGTTCTAAGAGTTTGAGCTCAAAAGGAACAGGAGTTAGCCCTTCAAGGGGAGTTAGTCCTTCAAGGGGAGCTAGAGGATCACGGGGAACAGGAATAAGAGGAAAACGGGGTAGTGCTTGGCCCCGGATACCAAATCGAGTATCTGGATAGACATTTTTCTGTTTATATATAGATAATAAGAATACTCCACTAATAAAAATTTTTGAAAACCCAATTAATTTTTGTTAAAATTTTATAATTTTGTAAATTAAAATATGGTTTTTCTAATGATATAAATTTTAATAAACAATAAAACATACTTGTATATGTTGTGCTTCAGATGCTTTCTTGCATCGGATCTAATCTGACGCGTGTCTGATGCAAACGAAAATCATGTGATAATCAACAAACCTTTAAAATTTATTAAAATCATAAACTAACCAAATCTTACAAACTCCAAATTTAATGCTTAAATATATAATAAATTATTATTATTTTTTTTCTTTGATAACCTTGCACTAATTTATTAGAATATTTGTAATTTACAAAATTAACTATCTAACTTATGTATTAGGCCAATACCTAGCTGCTAAAAGTGCCCAAGTATGGTCATCGCACTGATGTTTGCCAACTGGTTCCACATGTGGTGCTATCCACATTTAAAAACCCATTATAGCGTGGTACTCAGCTATCTAAAAATATTTACTTAACATTACAACCTACTACAAAATAATTTTACTTTGACCACCAACTAGGTGGAAAAGAGTTCGAAATTTGTAATCAAATCGTTTCTTTAACCAACTTATATATCTCAACTATCTTTTTCTTAATGTTTTCCAAACATGATCTTCTCTTCTCTTTTTTCTCTACTATACCTGATTCCTCTAAACCTTTTTTCCTCCTTTTTCTCTCATGGTTTTCTGTTAATTGGTTTTTTACCAGTTGAACCTCCGTAGGCCTGTTTTCTAACACTGAGTCTTCTGCTTGTAAGTTCTTTTCTGATATTTCGAACAATTCTCTGGGTCTCTTTCCTCTTTTAATTGTCTTGTCTATACTGTTTCCTTTTTCCCATGCTGCGAATTTTTCACACCTTTCCCTCCAGATTATTCTATAAAAGCATTCTTGTATAACATAAAAAAGCGCTTCGTAGCATTGTCAACTTGTACTAAATTTCTTGTTCATTTCTTAAAGTTTCGTAAAATCACCTTGACAGACCAAACCCTGCATAAGCATCTTCCTTTTTTCCAAGCATGCTTCTCGTGAGTTGCCAAATACTACGTTCTTTAGATCTTTTAAGGTATACTCGAATCTTGTCTCTTCTTTGAGTGTGGCCCATGCCAAAGCTAATACTTGCTTTTTTATTTTTAACCAAATATCCTTATAGGCTTCGCAGCTAAAAAGATGGTCCAAATCCTCTATTTTGTTCTTCTTACATAGAACACAATTGGCCGACAGATAAACATATAGGCTATGCTGATATAATTTATCTAGTGTTGGGAGTACTTGGAAAAGGCCTTTAATTTGCTTGACAAGCTTGTTACTAATCACTAGTGATCCACACCTCTGGCCCTAAGCTCCGTTAATCTTTTCCAACATAAAGCCCAAGATGAATTATTTTCACGTTCTGTCTTTTGAAGAGGCTCGCAGCTTTTCAGCAGATACTATTCGCTCTCTACAAACCTTCTTTTAACTTTTAGTATAAAACTCCATAGAGGGCATTCAATATTCTTATCTTGCCAAAATATTTCGAAGCTCCATCGAGAGTGAAGACTACTTGGCCATTTCCACGTATCGTCAAGGTAGGCACCCTCTTTTGCAGTGCAATCTGCTATTTCATTCCACTTTATACCTGCATGTGCTTTAACCTTTACTAACTCAAGATCAAGTAATTTGAACTGAACTACTTCTGTAATCTTGTGGAGTATTGCTCTATTTTTCCTTTTAAGCTCTTTATTAAAGTCCTTTCCTTTAGTGCACCTCTTATTGCTATGATTGTGGCTGCACTATCGGTTTTAACTTGCACACTTGAGTTTGAGGTTGCTGTTAAAAGCGCACATAGTATCACTAGAAGCTCTGGTCTTGTAGACAATGGCCAATTACCAATTTTGGCTTTGCCTTTAAATATTATATCCTTCTCATTTTCTGAAACCTGGACCCAGCCTACTCCTATTCTATCTTCGTCAATCTTGTTAAACTTATTTGGGATCTATGAACCATCTGTATAGAAAATGTTTTCTTTTCTCTTATGTTCCAGATTAACTCTTAGCCCATGTGACAACAAAGCTTTAATGTTCGCTGGTAGCTCCAAATTCTCTATATACTCTAAACTTTCGTTTTTTACCAACTTCATACTTTCTAATGTTCATTCAGGTGTAGTTATTTCTATAATAAGAGATCTATATATCTCTGTCGGAATTCTAAGGTGTAAACCCTCCTCGTCTTTCGATATATACTCTATTCTACCTAGTATTTGGTCTAAATTTATACTAAATCTACAAATATCTTCTACCTCTATGTTATTAAAATCACAACCCCATATTAAACTAATAGAACATCTTTCTTAGTTGGATCTCCTTTTAATCAGTGTTCAGCTACAACCTCACTTGAACTCTTTACTTGAATCTGTCATATTTCAAGCTGGCCTGTTTCTTTCTTGTAAAATAAGATCCAATCTTTTTGTCTCTTATCTTGACTGATCTTTGGTAGACTCTACACAATCGCCTCTTCATTTCTTGCTTGCAGATGAAACTGGGCTCTTACTTTATATCCCTCTTCATTCTTGAGCACCAAACTCTCAACTGACTTGTACCAGGGTGGAGTTGCACCACTACAACTGCGATTTTTAGCGCTTTTATTTGTTGCCATGTCAACAGGTTTTCACTCTTTATATCTAATATCTGATTAATAAAGTAAATTCCCAAACTTGCTTGCTGTTTTCTACTCTTTTTCC